GAGTTCAGACCGGTGGTCTTCCCGCTCTTAAAAAATTGGGCCCTTTCCCCGAACCCCCCAAAGCAGACAAAAAACCAAAAATTTACCCCCCTTGGGGGGCGCCGAGCCCCCCCCTCTTTTTTCAATGGGTTTCCCCCCCCCCCCCCGGAATATACAGTTGTACCTTTTGGTTCAAGAGCATTTTAAGGTTGATTTCCTACTCTGATTGGAATGTTTTAGTAACTTTTCGGCCTTCATTTTCTAAATACAGAGTCGACTCTCTTGTAAGACAGTCACCGGCACTATCATAAGTGTCCGTCTTAAAGACATGTGACAATTGCGAAACCCTAGCGCGGAGTCGGCAGTAGATGCCTTGTGTGCAGGAGATGCACTGAAAGCTGTGACGTCAATAGAGGGTAACGCAATGTCACAGGTAGAGCAGGCAGGATCACCTCATTACATACCCAGCGAGACTGCATGTAAATACCTGTATCGTTAATTAACGTTTCAAACGAGTTCACGATGGAAGAACACGCTTTTGACAGCTCAAAGCTGCACGGATATCTGAGAGAAAACTTGGCGGACTTCCCGCCTGAAGAAGGAGAACTAAAAGTCTTCAAGTTCAGGTGAGACCGATCGATTGAAAGACGCATAAGACGCTTGATATACGAGATTTCGAGAGATTATGTCTTTTTTTTGTGCGAGTCGCATGGTTTAAACTTCCAATTGTATTTTGCATATAATCAGAATACATTCTTAAGTATCCCTGATCAAAATTTTTCGGCAAATGTTTCTCATCATGCTCACCCTTCGAAAATTACTTTCTTTAAATTACATTAGTATGCATAAAAATTATCTGTTTGGCGGTGACCTTTGTTGAATAAATCGTCCTCATTCAATTGTGCACTACGGTTTGGTCTTTGAACAAAGCCCTCAAAAACAAAAACCATTAACGTATTTTATTACCTCGTGGTTGCCCATTTTCATTAACAGATTTTCTAGTTGCCGGATTTAAAGATTTAGCTTAAATTCAACCTTATAAAGTTCACCCTCGGCTCATATCCACATTCGTTACAAAACAATAGAATGTTGCCCATAAATTTATTTTTCGTGGTACTTACTACTAAGAAAAATTAGATTAGAACTGTTTTCTTTTTGCTGATTATTTGATTTGACTTTCCCACTTTTGTTCCTCCGCAATGTTTGCTCAAGGCTCCGTGTGGTCACGAAATTGTGGGGAAGGGTCATGAGTGACGACACAAAGAACGGTTTCGTACGATATTTGATTAGAAACAGGCGATGTCACGCTATTTGTTACCTTTTTAAAAGCTAAAACTTTACTTCATATCAATTGAATTCCAAAAAAGTAGTCCTGTTTTGATATTAAAAAATTATATTCAGGTATTAAAACGTCTTCTGTCAGTCTGTTGCAACTGATGACAAGGGATGGACATGGATTGAAACTTAAAAAAGCGGGGCCAACTTTTTCAACTTTTCCTTGTTGCAGGCATCCCTCCCTTGCTATTCCTTGCCATCCGTTGCAAGTAAGGCATTTAACAATTATTGCACGAGGTTGAGCAAAATATCGTGATTTGTCAGTGGCGAGCACTGGATCGGCTGAGGCAAATAATTGATATGGGAGACACTGACAAATCACGATATTTTGCGATTACCGAATTCAATAACTGTTTTATCCTTCAGTCACCGAGTTTGTTTTTTTATAAATATCCTCGGGAAACTGCCATTTTCACGCAAGAGCAATCGCAAGAAGGAGAAAAGCGTGCTTTCATTTGCACATGAGCAGAATATTATTTGTAGTCGGCAAACTTCGGCAAACACAGTTGGACGACATTGCGCACGAGCAGACCATTATTTGTAGGCAGTTATTTGCAGGTCATATGGTGGGCTCTCTGCCAATGAAAAGGTAGTGCTCCCTGATGAAATTTGTTTGATAATTTATCTCATTCATATCTCTAACGGAGCCTTATTTGAATGACCTAAAACAGCAAGATCGTCATGAGCCCAAGTCGTCATCTGGGGCACCCACTACTTCACATGCATGAGCCAAACCTAATACTAATAAGCAAAAGCCATAAATTGGTCATTTGTAGCCAGCAAACAGGCTTATTCGTTTGAATTGAGAGAAGGGGAGCGAAAAATCGCGAAGAGACGGCCTGTAAAAACATGGAGGAGGGGAAGTGGTGGAATGGAGTTGCATAAGGTTCGGCTCATGTAAAGTGCGGCGTTTGACCCTGGCCTAAGGATCGTAAGGTGCCACTTGTTTAATAATAATAATAATAATAATAATAATAATAATAATAATAATTTTTAACCAGGAGGCTCTCTCAACAGGGTGATTTTCGGAGAGCTCCTGAAAATAGAAAATATAAAAAGATAAAAAGAAGCGTAAAACGATAAAAAGCCTCAAAAAAACTTCCCTCACTAAAAACCTAAATGATCACAAAGAACTATTAAAAATATTATAAAATTAGCGCTAGATAGTCAGAAAGTCATTTGATTTTCTTAGAAGATATATAAAACTGTTCAGAGTTTAACAACACTGAAAATAACTATAAAAATTACGTTTAAAATACTCGAGGTTAAGCTTTTAAGCACAGATCTAGACTGTTTCAGTCTTTAACAGCTTTATAATGGGTCCTTTGTTTTCCCTAGTTTCTTCTTACACGGGGCAGTCTCAAGTTATCTTTGTGTTGTGTATCGTAGCCGTGTACATCTTTATTACCAATTAATTTCATTTATATCAACTTGCTTTGAATTGAGAGACAAACTTAGCTTATCTCCGGAATAATTAATCCTACTGATGGTCAGAAATAAAAAATGATTAATAAGTTTCAAATTATTTTAAATATTTAATTTACAAGGAATCAATGAGTAATTTCAAGTAGCTTTTGCGATACTGTAATACTTTGTTATGGTCATGCAAATAAAGCTTATCATTGTTGTTGTTGTTGTTGTTGTTATTTGCTAACAGATCCATACTGTGAGCTGAGATCTCATTAACACATTTATAAACGTAAAGCCAACGATGAAAAAGTCTGCGTTTCTCCAAGGTTAACCAACCAAGGGCTTCAAGCGCATCGGTGGCAGATGAATGAAAAGGGCGGTCTAATATAGTTTTGGCAGCCTTGTTCTGCAGGAGTGGTAAATTGTTCATGAGAACAGCATTGCCCTTATCCCCCCAAACATTGTCGGCATAATCAAACACCGGGAGAATGAGACTGTTAAAGAAAAGAATACGCGCACTACGTGGAAGCAAACTCTTAATTCTCCGTTTAAGTCCTAAGCGTTGATTTATCTTCGTGGAAATATATTCAATATGCTCCGTCCAGGTAAAATTTGAGGACAAAGAAACACCCAACGCCCTCAACTTCTTTGTCATATACTTAGAGAGATATAACGGTGGAAGCACGCAATTTGCGATCGCTGTCAATAAGCATGGACTTGGTGCGCAGACTAGGTGCACTGATTCCTATGACTCAGGTAGAATTGAAACCACTGAACAGCATTAGGAGTTACATCCCACGGAAGATAACTTGGCGAACAGGATACTGTCATCCACAATATCGAAAGCCTTTGTTTTTGCAATGCTTGCGTTTAAACTGATCTGATTAACAACTGGGCTCCTGGTTAAAGTGGACACTCATTGTTAAAATCCATATCGTTCAAACTGAACTTTGTTATGAATCCTTGTTGATTATCTCCTTGCAGTGCTGGAACTTCAAATCCTACCTTTCTTCTTCGAAAGAATGGCAAAGAATTCGTGTTGAGGCATAAATCACCAGTTGAAATGTATGTTGGATACCACAAGGTCAGTTGAGTTGCTGTGTCAAGTTCTCAAATCACATTTCTAGTTGGAAGACGGGCGAAGTTGATTAGTCAGGGAGTGAGGTACTCCATAAAGGACGGAAAAAAGCGGTTCATTTCATAACTCACAGTGATACAGTGTAAAAAGTATCAAGTCCGAGCATTATTTAATGTAATTCACGTAATAAGCAGATAATAAACCGAGACCTATTACGAATAAAAGCCGTTTCGTTTTTATTTTATATTTCAATTAGTAATTTCGACGAGTTGCCCTAATTTGCACAAATCAGAAGGATTCTGGTATTAGTAGAAAATGACGTCATCATCAATGGCATATTGTGACACGCGTCCTGTATACCAATAGATTTACCAATGCATAATTACAACAAATCGATAGTGGCCTTTTTCTCGGGCAAAAAAGAATGGATTTAAAATCGTAATTTTTTTATAATTTAACAGGTTGATGTGGAATACAAAATCATGTCTGCCCTCAGTGGTGCTTCTGTTCCGGTTCCTAAAATGTACCTATTCTGCGAAGACAAGACAGTTATGGGCCAAGAATTTTACGTAATGGAATATATCAAGGTACAACTTTCGACTTTCGACTTTCGACTATCAATTATTATATCGCCAAATCTGAAAAGAGGTCGTTCTCTCGGCCCATGATAATTGATAAGAACATATCCCTCTTCTTTCTCAAAATAGCTCGGTGTAGTCGTTCAGAGTTAGTGTTTACGTTCCTATTGTCTACCTCGCCATGTAGTTGTGGTAATAGCATTATCTTTCTATTCGGTATGGTATTGCCGTTTCTCCTACGAGCTCGGGTGACTTCATCCTCGGAGACCCAGGGGCAGATTGTGGGGGCGAGGGAAAGTCTAAGCGGGCTGAAAAATATGACTCGAAGAAAAGTAAAGAACGGCGAGAAGAGCTCTTCTCGCCGTTCTTTACTTTTCTTCCTGCCATATTTTTCCGCCCGTTTAGACTTTCCCTCGCCCCCACTTTCTGCCCCTGGGTCTCCGAGGATGGGGTGACTTACCCTTACTTGTACAAGGGAAGAGTTATCGTAAGGTCTCCGGTTTTTCAATTATATACGAAGTTTTACAAGGACACAAAGAACGGCCTCATGGCAAACTAACATGCAAATTAATCTGATTTTTCCTTAGGGTCGTCAGTTCCCGGATGCCAACCTTCCAGGCGTCCCTGTTGACCAAACTAGGGCTATCTTTGAGGCTGCAATTAGAACTTTGGTACAACTTCAAACTGTGAACACAGACGGACTTCATCTGGAAGGACTTGGTGACAAAGAGAACTACTTCCAAGCAAGGGTACATAATCAAAAAGGTTTTAATTTAAAGAATAAAAATACTTTTTACAAAACCAACGATACTAAACAGAACAATAGCATCACATAGGAGCAACCGGTCACTAGCCGGAGAAAACCAGCAAAACTCAGTTGATCTTTATATTCTCATGTCCAAACCGGAAATGTTTTTTAAAAGTTAGCAAGCTTCTCTTGGTTTGTTTCAAAAAGAGGTAGGGGGCATGGCTAGTAGACATGGCTGGTATAAAAACAAGAATAAACGTCATTTTTTCTACTGCTTTTTCCAGCTCGAAAAGCTCTACGAAGGATACAAACGAACCGAAAGGAAGGCAGTTCCAAAGGCTCATCAATTAATGGAATGGCTAAAAAATAACTTGCCAAAGGAAAACAGGAAACCCGGTACGTAAAACATGATCAAGAATTAAATACTTAATAAAATCATGTAAAGAATTGAAATCAGATTTAAAATGATAAATCTTGGTTTGATGTAACCCTCCCTCGTCAACGTGCGCTGATGATGTTGAGTCTATAGACGTTGCAATGTCGTGAGAATATTCTCACCTATCAGATGAGCGCCGTTTCGTTTCCTCCGTTTGCTTCTTAAAGCTTTCAGCGCGCGTGGTAGATGGTTCCAGTCAAGATGGCCTCCACGTCGACATTATGGAGAAAGTGCAAAAAAAGGAATCATTACAGTAATAGCTTTCCTTGAGTAAACTATAGCTAAAACTATAAAGGAACTAATGAAGGCCATTAAAACAATTATCATGATTTGAAAGACAGTTGAAAAGTTCCTAGTTGGTGAAAAGTGTAAGTTAATTTAGAATTTTATATTTACGTAAAAGGTGCGAGACCTGAAACGGTAACAGTCTCTTCAGAGAAAAAAAATGGTCGAAGCTGGTAGTCTTAATTGTTATAGTTTATTTGATTTCAGTTATTTACCACGCCGATTACAGAATTTCAAATATGATATTTAAGGAAGACGAGGTGGGTTTAAGATTTATCTTTATATACAAATCAGATTAATAAGCTATTACGCGGGATAAGAGATAGAAAAGAGTAGTCTATCCTTCTGAGCAGTCCTGATACCCCAAATATTGCCTTTCCTCTGCAAGGAGAAACGACGCTGATATCCCTTAAAATAAGGGTTGATCGAACTGAGGGACTTGAGGGACTCTGGGACAAAAAAACTCAATGTTTCTTCCATAACTAACCTTGAAAGACGTTTTTTTTCCTCCGGAGCAAATTAAGAAATGAATAAGTTAAAGTAAAGTTGCAAAAGAAAATACCTATCGCTACTTTACGCCGTCATCAACGTTACATGTCATCCCTACATGTACATACATGCACTCATTCCTAAGAGGCTGTTTTGATTCTCTAGATTCAAGAACATTGTTCTCGCGGCTCCACTTACCAACGCGCTTAAGTCCCCGCTAGTTTATTGCAAGCTAGGTGTGTAGAGTGAGTTTTGAGTATTTTCCTTCTCGTTTAAGCCCCAGATTCTGGCCGTCATAGACTGGGAAGCAGCTTGTTGGGGGCATCCATATGAGGACCTGGCCTATTTTTGTTTTCCGTTTCACTTTCCCGCTGAATTGGAAGTCTTACCTACAGGAAAAGTAGGTAGGTGTCCTCGCTGATTTGAATTTTGGACTTAACAAGGCAATGCTGTCTCAGTGCGACCTTTGTTATCCCAGACCTTTGTGCCTCCTTTTAAAAATCTTTGCCCTGGTCACATTAAAAATGTTAGAACTAACCTTTTTCACCTGACGAAATGACGTCAGAACGCACAGAAGCTTAGTCGACGAGGAGATCCTAGGATTTTTAACTGATATCATTTATACACAAGGCAGTAAACTAATTATATATATAAAAATCACTCCGCTAACGTTGTTTGTTCAACCAACTATATTCTATGAAGTGCAAAACACAGTAGTTTTTTACTTTATCCCAGGCTACTACTCAGAAGGAATTCCCAGTGAAGAGTCACTACTCTCGCTGTACTGTCAGCTTTCTGGTGAAACACTTCCGCTGCCAGACTGGACATTTTTCCTGGGGTTGACATTTTTCCGTGTCATCGTAAATATCCAGGTGGGTGTAAGAACGAAAAAACAAATAGAGGAAACAGATGTTTTCTTTAGAATAGGGGATCCGCAAGAGATGCTTACTGCAACTTGAGGCAACCCTTCATTCCACTCTTTCACTCTTGGGATTCGTAAACAGCTGTGAAGTGAAAAGTGGTACCTCAAGGTTCTTTTTTGTGACCTGACGTTGAGTCTCATAGTGTCGACTTAACACGTTTCCATCCGCGACACTTGCCGTTTAGCTGCGCTGTTTTCTTAGAGCCCTTTCCAAAAGTCAGGACTGGCCAGCCGGACCACCGGTCATTTTGTAAATGAAATGGCTTTTCTTGAGAGTTTTCGCCCCCAAAATCTATCACTTCCGTGATATATGATATTTAGGAATAGACTGATCTGGCGGAAAAGTTCTGATTTGTGGTAAAATTCTCTTTACGACTGGACTGGACTACCTCAACCCGGTGCCCAGGGCTTTTCCATTTTTAAGGGAAAAGCCCTGCGGACGAGGTTGAGACTACCTGTCCAATTAATCTAACTTATCGCAAGCGCCCTTACTCATAAAATCTTGCACCACACGTACATTACCCATGCACAAATGGCACTGGCGTGGGGTAGGGTGGGGGGAATGCCGTATTGAAGGGACACAGTCAGCTGATGCACATGCGAATGAGGTACACGCTTTTTTAATCTGGCAAAAACTACTGTCGAGGTCATCAGTGCGGACCCTAAGCTGACTGTGTTCTTTGAAGTACTCTGTAACTGCTTAATATAATACATCCACAAAGTGTTAAAATTCTCTATCATTTCCTTACTTTTTCAGACCGTGCTAGCCCAGCTTACTGATAGCCCCGTTCCATTCCCTTTCCCTGTCGAGAGTATAGCTAATATGCTTGAACCACTGGCAGACTACGCCTGCAGTTTCGTAGGAGTTAAATAAGATCCGTCAGGTGGGATGGTTCGTGTATCATACACCGAAGGCAAGCCTCTTATTACACCCTGGCTAAGCGTAAAACAAACTTCTCTAAAATTCCTCATTTTTATGATTTATGCTGCTGATTTCCATGGAGACTAACACAGAGAACACTAAAACCAAAGCCAAAGTTATGAAGTGATCCTGATCTCAGCAAGGAAACAAAGGACGGAGATTACTACGTATGCACGACGGTTCAAAGCGACCAAGTTAATAGCAATCAGATAATTTTCATTAATCAGCTAAGTTTTTTTTAGTGATTCAAAGTATTGTCGGCCGATTCTCGGTGAGAGTAACTGTGAATTCATTACCCTCTTGGCTCTTCACATTTTCATACCCGAACAAGTCACTGAAAAGCTGTGTTCAAAAGATGCATTTTATTTATCCATAATTCTAAGTTAGGAAGTCTTCGTAAATGTTGTTCAATTGTTGCGACGATTACATTGTATAGCTGAAATTTTAGTGTATCAATATATGAATAAGCTGTACGTGTTTCAATCGTATATATTTTCTTGACGACTGAATGTAGGCTTGTAAGGTTTTAAGGGTATTTCAACAATATCAAATCTTCTGTCATCACTAGTACTGAAGTAAAGGCCGGTCCTCTCTAGCGACGGAAGCAGACAAGCATAATCATAAGCATAAGAGTAAGCGTAACGCAAGTATAGAAATAATAAAGAGCATAAGACGCTTATGCACTGGTGAGGACAGCGTGACGTAAGCGTAAGAATCATCCCATATATGGGAATCCGAATTCCGGTATCTAGGAAATTTTTGCCTGTGGAATCCGGAACCCTGGGACTTGGATCCGGAATATAGTGTTCAAGAAATCCAGAATCCCACTAACGATTGGAATCCGAAATCCAAGTTTCACTGACAAAGTCCGGAATCTAGTAACTAGAATCCGGAACCCACGGCGTGTAATCCAGAATCCAAAACCGTCTTGGATTCCATTACACGGGGCGAATAAGAAAAAGGCAAGGTTTTGATATTCTTATGTTTATGACGGCTTATACTTATGTCAAGACCAGGGCGGATCCGCCCTGGTCAAGACCGTCCTCACTAACGCATGAGCTCCTAATGCTTATGCTTATATGTACGTCGCTAGTGAGGACCAGGAGTTACAAATTAAGAAATTAATTCCTTGTGCAATATTCTATTTTGTCTTTCTCGGATTCATCGAAGTCTGATATCCATGGATGATTTAGGGCTTTCAAAGCCGTGACTCGCTTGTGTGGGTGAACTACAAGCATTCTCTTAACAAGATCTGTGGCGTCATCGGATACTTGATCCCAATAACGCGCAGCCATGTTATAGCGTCCCTCTACTATCAGCGACATCAGCTTTTGATTATCATTTTGCCAAAACGGTGGGTACCCCACAAGTAACAAGAACATTATCACTCCGCATGCCCAGATATCAACCGCTGTACCAATAGGATCAGCTAGGATTGTTTCAGGTGCAAGATACAATGGTGCGCCTTCTAAATCACAATTGATGGCGTCAGAGTCCTTAGGAAGGCGGCGCGCAAGTCCGAAGTCTGTCAGCTTGACGGTGGTTTTACCATTAGCGTTTTGTATAAGAATGTTGTCTGCTTTGATATCCCGATGAATAATCTTCCTTCGATGGAGGTAGTCGAGTGCTTCAATTATCTGAAAGATGAATTACATTAAAATGGTTACAATCCGTTTCAAAAAGTTCAAAGCCTGAACAAATGAATATTACGCAAAGATATAGGGGGAATTCTACAACGCTCTGGGAGGGAATGTTTACAATGTCCCCAATTTGAGAAGCGGAACGAAGAAATTTGAAGGTCTAAGGAGGAATCAAACCATCAAGCCAGATTTAGTCTGCCAAGCGTAATCGGATAAGAATTATAAGAACTTCGTCGAAAATTAAGTCTGAAGGGCGGAATAAGCCCGTGAGAAAGCCTCGCAGCAAAAATCAACTGCAAGGAAAGGAGAAAAGCAACAAATGACTCACGCTGAAAGCGCATTGAACCTGATCGCTGAATATGTAATATCCCTACAAGAAAAGTGAGCTACTGATTTACCTTGAAAAAAGTAAAACGTCAGGCTGTTTTTACTAAATGCTATGAAATGTATTTCCGTCTTTTTGCTTAAGTTTTGCAACCATAAAAAGGTTTACCCAAATGCATTTCAGTTTGGTAGTATAGTCGTCACCAGCTCCTCACAAAAAAATGCGACAAAGCTCAGATGCGAGCGGAGTATCTTCAGCGGGGAACTGGTGAAAAGGTCTCATCGTTCCCCATCAGCTCGCGAGCGCCGGTTTTTGTTTCATGGTCAAGCTTTCCCCATTGTTTAATCATGTTCATACTTGCGTTTATGCAGTATACAGATAATATTACGACAACAATTACCACCTTTGTATTAAAGAGACTCCTTAGGGATTACTATGCCGACGTCCTATGGACTTGCTATAATGTAGTACTTTTCTCTTAAAATCCGTCTAGTCCTTGATCTTAGCTTCCAGCGCAATATGCAAACCACGATGTTATCATATAGCCGCTCTCGCTCTAACTTTCCAAAGAAAAATAAGAGACTGTTCGCAGTCTATTGGTTTATCTGTTGTGGTGACCCTGCCATGTATATGTATGTTATTATTATTATTTTTTGTTTGCTTTTCGAGGGGGGGGGGGGGAAGCTGAATAATTATAAATATAAATTTTACTTACGACCTGACACTACCCTGCACTGATACTTACCTTTTGAACGATTCGTCTCCTTTCTTCTTCGTTGAAGTCGATCTGGTTTAATATTTTATCAAAAAGTGTCTTTCCATTAACAAATTCTAGACCGACCCATAAATTGCTTTCATCATAAAAACATAGGGATTACTATGTGGACGTCGTATGGAGTTGCTTTTATGAAGTACTTTTTGCTTAAAATTTGTCTGGTCCTTGATCTTAGCTTCCAGCGGAGTAGGCAAACCACGATGTTATCTTTTAGCTGCTCGCGCTCTAACTTTGTATGTTGTATTAATAGCCTGTTTTCTGTTGATGGAGTTATATTTTGGAGGGACGCTCCCGGGTCGTGTTGATTTACTCCTATTATTGTTTGTTGTTTTTTGTGTGCAGTGAGGGTGGGGGGGGGGAAGCTGAATAAGTATAAATATAAATATTACTTACGACCTGACACTAGCCTGCACTGATACTTACCTGTTGAACGATTCGTCTGCTTTCTTCTTCAGTGAAGTCGATCTGGTTTAATATTTCATCAAAAAGTGTCTTTCCATTAACAAATTCTAGAACGACCCATACAGTGCTGTCATCATAGAAACGATTATGCATTGACACAATGTTATGATGATGTAACGTTCTCCATATATCAACTTCACTGTCGATTTGCTTCTTATCATAATTGTTATCATGGGCTTGGAATTCTTTCACTGCAAAGACGCAGCCTGTCTTTCGTTCCACGCATTTGAAAACTTTTGCAAAAGTCCCTTGTGCGATGAACTCCCTCAATTCGAAAACTTGACTAAAGTTCCTCTCAATTTTCTCCATACTAAATCTGTGGTACTTCAAGGAATCAGGCAAATTTCTGAAATAAAAAAGAATTTCTATCTTTTATTTCTCTTGAATCGGCTATATTGATTTCCTGTTATTCATTTGATTAGTTCTTTGATCTTCTCCCTCGTTAGGCCCGATCACCAGCCATCGTTAAGGAGGTAAAACCGGACCCCCTCAATCGCCGGGTTGGAAAGCGAGTCTACTCCCTTGTCTACTAAGTTTAATTCAGTTACCATATCAGGCATCCGGCCAGTAGTCTATCTGTCTACCCCACCTTAGGGCATTTAGTGCCGTCCATGATTTATCCATCTATTAATAATAATGAAATAAAATGTAAAAATCGTGGACGAGGATCCCGCTAGTTGTCAACCGCGTTGGACCCGGAAAAGGTCTTATAAGCTAAATTTTATTTGAAATTTTAGAAAAAGACTACTGCGAAACTGAAACAACGGGTAGCATCTTTTTTTTTCAAAAAATATTTCGGCTTGCCACACGTGTCAGGATTCCATGTCCATCTACTCGCCTCTCTTTTTGTCTATTCAACTTTTGATATCTAATTCATTACTTTTAAGGTCTTTTAAATTCACTCATCAAAAATTTTATAAGGGCAATATTTCACTTCGAAAAAACGAAACCTGTTGTTGTTCGTATCAGATTTTCAGTTGATCTCTACCACTTCTATTGTTAACACATCTAAACTAATTAAGAAAATCAGCTTACAATAATGCCAAAATCCTAGTTGACATCATGAATACTCTTGGAGCTGAGAACCTTCCATCTTGTTCAAATGTTTGAAGAGTAACTCAATACTAGTCACGTTTCTCTTTTCTCCGTGCCAGCAAAAATAGTATGTACGTGTCGAAGTTTCTGACACTTTCGCTATTTGCTTTGGTGTACTCAAAAAATTTGATTTCGGGTATGGTGAGACAGTTTTTCTGTCCTCCTTCTCTTGCCGTCCAGAATAAAAACAATCTCTGAGTCAGAAAGTACTAGTTTTAAAAAGTTAAAAGTTGAAAGGCGGTCTCGACTCAGTCGTCCGTATCACCCATCTATGTATATATTGGTTGACATAGTCTGTATGAGTGTTTTACAACCAATAGAAATTGCTGTAATGGTACACGTAAGGAAAGGTTTAAATTTATTGCATGATAACGCCAGACAATTTCCTTAGCTGTGCTTGTCAGCACTTCAGAACACTTATACTGAAAAAAAAAACAGCCTTAATTTTCATCTTTATCACAGAGATATCTAAATTTACACCTAAAAATATCATATCTTAATGAAAAGTGCTTGTCCTGCAGATTTCAACATGTGGATAAGATTAAAGTACATTACCGGTATATCTCGCATACAGTGATACCTTACTGCAGTGAATGCAAAACCGCACGTTACATTAAATTTTTGAACTTGAAATCACTGCCGATCTAATTGGTCTTTTTTTGGTGTCGTTCTTGAAGCTTTCTGCAAAACTGCTTATGTAATTTAATTAAAAGTTGTAGTCTGTCAGCTTCGCTCTGCCCCGCCTTACGAGCAGAGGTTTCTCTCTGGCATGATTTTTAGTCTTTTACAAAGTCGTTCGCGTCGCTTGACATTCGCGTAGTTGGTTCTATACTTGTCTTGAAATTCAATTGTTTACTACCGGCACAATATAAATCGAAAATTGCATCACTAAGTTGAAAAATAAATATTTGGCGATAATTACCCTTTGTGCCCTTCACTGATGATCACGTTGTAAAAATAGACTGACACAATTTTTTATTCAGGTTTGTCCATAAGTCACAATAAAACTTTTCTTACTTATTATGAAAAGAGTGAGCAGTTCTGTTTAAGAGATAATGACAATCAACACAGACTTACCTCAAAAGAAATACGCAGCTAATTTGAGCCAATGTAAGCACTATTCCAAAGTCACGATACCAGTCAAGGATGAAACTGTTATCAACGTGTTTGAAGATCAACACGCTAATTCGCACCTTTTCCCATTTATAGTTAAGACTCCAATCCTGTGTTTCACGACCCCCCAGTTTCTCAAGATTGAAATTCTTCGAAATGTTTGAGCGGCAATGTGGTGCCTTCGCGGTTAACACACCAATATATTGTGGGTTGCTAATACGATGTTATCGTTTGGCGGTTTGCGCCCCACAGGAAATAATTATTGTTAATACAGAACGATCAAGCCGTGACGTGGTTCTGTCGCCAACGTTAACCGCACTGAAAAATAATCATGTTAACAGACAATATGACACTATTGTTTCCCGTTTCAGCAACCAAACTCGGAACCCCATTGATTCCTCTGGATTCTTCGAGCCGGCATTAAATTCTAATATTTTTTTTCCCCCGATAACAACTAATAACAACTTGAAACAACAAATAAAATATCCTGGATAGCGGCTACAGTAAAACACAAAGAACAAAGTGGACTCCAAAGGCCGACTCAAAATCAGTCTGCCCAAGTGCCTTGAGGGCTATTTTAATTGGTCCATGTTTAGGGTGGACAACCGTGTTCTTGAATTGGCTCGGCACTGCACGCTATTTCGATCAGTCTGACTGACTATCAAATGAATAATTTCAGGTAAAAAGTCTTAAACCCACGTAGTACAATGCACGCTAATCAGCTCAAGTCTAAATCTCAAAAGCCCAATTTTTATTTTTATACGACTGCTTCGCTCTCAAAACTCGGTTCAGCTAAAAAATCAAACGTGATCGTAGCTTTTTCAGTTTACCTAACTTTTAGTAAGTCAGATGTGAGATTCATGATCAGAACAAAGTGGCGTTGTTGCCGCAAAAAAAAATTCATGATTATTAATCAGTTCGTGGAGTTTGATATTTCTTCACTCTTTTTATAAAACCATATATTAATTATTTTGACGGTTTATGTTTGTACTGTTTTGTTCCTTCCTTTTGTACAAACAATTAATTGGTCCCGCTGAGACACGTCGTCTTTACAGTAAGTGTCGTCGAAAAAGGGAGACAGAGCTGAGAGAGGTCTGGAAAAAAAGAGAAAGGAAAAGAGGAAGTCGGTTGATCATGCCCTTAGTTTGCTAAATTAAGTCTCTCTTGACCGCTTAAAGCATTGCTCGGATCACTAACGTTTCTATTTTAGAACAGTATTTAGATTTATAAAAACTTGAATTAATTACGGGATAGGCCTGAACGCTCCAATGCTCAAAATTTGGGTTAAAACGTTTACCGTCCGAATTAAAGAAAAACGGTCAGGCGGCTCACAATAATTTGAAAGGGGGAAAAATAATCAAGGTTATTTTAATTGTAGAAGAAATTCAGTTCAAATTTTCAGAAAAGCTAAAACAGATGCTAGACGGTGTTGGTTCCCTGATTGCTATTCCTTCATCACCATGATTCGTGTGCAGTCATTCTCCCCCGGGCAATAGAATAATCTGGTTTATTCAGAGGTTCTTAAACGTGACTTTAATTTCTCAGCATCAGTGGCACGCTTTTTCTCTTCGTATACTGGTCGAGTCGAGAAGACTGAATGATACATGAGTCCGGTTCCAGTGCCGTTTCAATTTCGACATCGCGAAGTCTTCTTTCTGTTTATAAGCGCTAGCTAGTTTGCACGAGGTGTGACGGCCAAAAGAATGAAAATTATTTATCTTCAACAGTTTTCTCTTCGCAGCCCCTAATTTACGAAGTCATATCCGGCTTATATATAATCGCAGAAAGACTTAAAAGGCTATTGTTCAAGGTATAATAGGGAGACCACTTTTAGCGGGTAGATGCATGGTTTTGAGATGTAAAATCAAAAGCTTATAAGTGGTCATCCTATTTAATTTATATTTCCATTTGTCTACTTTGAATTTTTTGGCTCTCACACAGTTAAACCATAAAAAATACCTTGTACACATGGTACAACTGAAACACACCCGTATTTTTTTTTTTAATATTGCTGATTCTTAGTTGTCACGTTCGTAGCGGTTTGTTGACCTTAATCACCGTGTAACTTTTTCTTGAGGTTGTCTTTTGACATGAAGAGAATCCTACGAATTCACAAACGGTTACAAAACAAACAAACAAAAATGACATTCCCTTTGCTCCAAGGCTAAAAAGCTTTTAAGATTTTTTAAGGAAAAAAGATTTTAAAAATGCTGAAATACAGACAAGTTAACGAGAATCCTGAATCATCTCTCGGTTCTGAAAACGGCTCATTAACGACTCTCTCCATCTTCTCCTAACAAACAAACAAACAAAAAATTTGGGAAAGAAGTGTGCATTTGAAATTGACGTAAATAAACGCTTTTCCCACATCAAATATATGTGTTTTTCCAGCCACTGGAAACTTTTCGCACTTCTTAATCTGGCCGCCGTGTGTGGTTTCGAATGGAAAACATTTCTACACAGTAAATTTTTTTCTCTAGCCTTTCAAGACCGCCCTTATTTCTATCATCTATGCAAAATTGCCTCAAGAAAATCGTCAGGTTTACAAATGAAACACTTTCTTTCGCCAGTGAAAATTACCAGCAAAATTTAAATTGTAGAAATTTTCTTTTAAAGCCCGCGTCACTCTATTCCCCGGCAAGCTGCAATGAACGCATTAATCCTTAAAACCTCCGGGTGCCACCTTTGTCTGAAATGAGGAATTTTGTTTTCCAAAAAAATGAAAACAAACTAAACGGAAACGGAAGAGTAGAAAATCGTACTCTGATTTATGACATATATTAAAATTCAAGACATATTTCCTCATTTTATGAAATAAATTAATATACTGAATTCTCTTCGAGAGAATCGAGTTAAAATAGTTTGCTGACAGGTGACTAGAAATGAAGACAACGGCGAGCTTTACTTGTAAAGTATAGTGAAGACTGATGACCATCTAAAATGTTTCTTTTACCTAGTAGACCGTAGTCTGCTACACAGCCGTTTTTAAAAACGGCTGTGTAGCAGACTAAGTAGACCGTGGCACTTTGCACGCAACGGAAAGAATAACATATTATTTTGATAGGGATTATTTTGAAGTGTGTAGGTTGAAAGTGATTGTGGTATGTCGATGTCTCTACCGTAAAATGACCCAGGCCATCAATGAGGAAAACGACTCAGATTAAAGAGGTTGGGCTTTCGAGACAACTTGACTGTATTCTAAACACGAGAAACACCTTTTCGATGCCTTCCACCCTGACAGGCCGGAAGCAACTCACCTTCTAATTTGGCCATGAATTTTCCGTTCTAATAGCAAATTTTGCATTCTCAGAGTCATACCAGGAAAAAAAAAAGATAAAATTGAGAAAGGAAATAGTATTGTGGGCCCGGCGGTATTGCGAATTAAAACGCCCCTCGTACAACATTGAATTCGTCTTCCTGTATTACTCCTGTTTGAAAAGTTAAGAGTCTTACGACTGCAAAAAATGAATAGAATCTGCTTAAAAACTTCAAAGTTAAACTATAATCGTGATCACTCGGAAAGTATTCGTCTGGATCTGAAAGAACCTAAGCCAGAAACGAAATCTGTATGAGGGACCCACCCAGGGGACCGGTGACCCCTTTTCGAGTAATCAAAAATTTCGGACAATAGGCCCTTTGCTAGACAGTGATCACGTAATCAACTTTCAGTAAAGACGAAAACAGTTCACTTGTGAAAAATTTTGTTAGCACAAGCTGAAAGAGCATATTAAAATTAGGAAACCTGCGAATTTTCAGCCGCGTATCTCAAAGATAGCGATTGCAACGGTGGCCGAAAGTCAGAAGCATTTGCGTGAGAAAAACAACTTTTGTCACCCAGTCATCCTTGCATGGTTTCCATACAAATCACTAGTAAATTAAATATTTCCTTGAGCATTACGGGGCTCAATCTTCTTTTCATAGCAGGCAATTTGAGCCCTTAAATGCGTGAAAGAGAGATTTAACGACAGTTTTTTTTTTAAATTTAGAATTTACAAGGATTTGTATGGAAAACCACTCAAACTTGACTGGGTGGCAAGAGTTGTTCCTTCTACTTTTCTGCGGCCGTTGTAATCGCAACATATGGCTGAAAATCTACAGGTTACCTAATTTTAAGACACTCTATCACCTCGTGCTACTAAAATTGTTGAAAAGCGAACTGATTTCGTGTTAACGGCAAGTTGATCAGGTGATCAACTTAGCAATTATTCGGAAAATTTTCTCCCTACCATCCCCACCCACTACAAACCTAAAAATGAGCGGTCGCCCGGCAGATGCAAGATGGCGGCCGAGGCGTCGCTTGCGGGCTCGTAGCTTCTTTTCATTTTATCTTTGAAGGTGAATGCTTTAAAGGTATGAATTTTGTTTGGTAAGATTTGCGTATAACCTCATACATTTATTATGCATACATGTTTCGACTCTATTCATATTAAACTGCTTGTGAGTAAGTAAATCCTACAGTCTACTCCCCATAACTCGAACGTACCTTCTAGGGAAAACGAAAAAGGTTCGAGTTTATAGCGGGAGTTCGAGTTGTCGGGAACTCGAAGCAAATAACCAGAAATAAGAAAATGGGATGGGGAATGAATGCAAGTAACATGCATTTATAAAACAATTTCAATGTTTCGGACTGCAGTACACTTTTTTTTACTTGTCACGCATGGTTGAAGTTATGGACGGTATGTATTTCTCTGCAGCGAAACAAAAATTACTTAGAGTTAGTGGGAAATTCGAGTTATCGAGGGTTCGAGTTACCAAGGGTAAAATTATAGTAAATGTATGAGAAAAATCCAGGGGAAATAGATTCTGGTTCGAGTTAGCAAGGGTTCGAGTTTTCAGATGCAGGAGTCGAATGTAGTTAATATAACCACTAAGAGCTCAGAAGTTGTGACTCGTTAAAACGCTCTTGTGAAAAAAAATTGGTTGAAAAAATACAAAAGAAATATGATATGGGAGTTTTTATATGGAAATGGTACCTTTTGTTTTGGTGTTACGTTATTATTAACATATGGATTGTAAATAGATTTTTACTATTTTTTTTTCTATGCTTATGATATGTAATTTTTTTATTTTCTCCCCTTTTTTACATTGTAAAGTGCCACGAGCTCAGGATATGAGCACTATATGAATAAAGTTATTATTATTATTATTATCAATCCTTGTTGTCTAGACCAAATTGTGTTTGTTACCAGTTTAATTTTATGTAAAGAACTAAATGTTGGACATAGGGTTCCTTAGTACCTGCAGGACTCTTATCTGTGTAACCTTGCAAATTAACGATCATATATACTTCCATTACTTTTTATTCCTGCAAATGATATAAGTACAGTGGAGACTGCCTGTTGACTAGCTAGACTAGCTAAGCTCACTTAAAAAAACAAAGCATTTTCCACCCTTATTTTACCACTTTGATTGCCGATTCTTAAATTTTCAAAGTTAATCTGTCCCCCAACCCTGTGAGCAGATGCTCTATTTTCATGATATACTGCTACAAACCATCCCACTTTTTATTTCATGCATGTGCAAATTTTCTTACATGATTCGCAAGCATACGGGTGCACACTATAATCTGCATCTTTTCAATTAAAGATGTGCTCAGTCTGAAATGCTACAATTTGTTTTGAGGTTAATAGCTGTGGATGCACATGTTTGAAGCATAAACTTGCTACAGACTATTAAACTAAAAAGGTTTTATATTCTTCTTCATAGAGAGGGAAAGCATTACTGAACACAGCACAACACGAACGTCAGTAGGGTGGTCTGTACCCATGCAGAAAGGCTTGATTTCCGCTGCTCTCTTGATCCTCCTGAACAGCATCTGGTAATCAAGCCTAATGTGCAGACTCAAAAACAAAATACAACCACTACATTCTTATAAAAAGCACCCCCTGGAATGGAAATTCCAGGGAGGTGGGATGTCTAAAACAAAAGTGCCCACCGTGGAGGGTATGGATATTATTATTCTGTATTGCCAATCCTGAGCCATCTACTCCTAGGTCTAGCTTATCTTTACTGCTCTTTGTCCAAAGTGGTCCTTGGAAGACTTCACAGTTCATCTGACTTTTTTAATTTTCTAATTGCAGAGACGAGGAGAAAGGACTTCCTGGTTATTGACTTGATTGAGCCCACAAAGATGCTTTTAGTCTCTGGTTTGAAATCTTTGCACACAGGCTTACGAGGCCTTGGGTTGTACCTGTTTGAGTTTCAAAAATATCCCTTGCGCTCTTTTCAAAAGTTAAACAACTCTTACAGCATATCAAGGACACCAAAGCAAATTTATGGTGAAGCCACGAATCTTGGCAACAGTATCTGCTTTGTAAATCCTCCTTGCAAATTCTCAACATCTCAGTCCACAAACCAATCTAGATACATCAGGAACTTGGATAAGAAAATAAGGGTACTAAAAACTGTAGAAGAACACCTGGAATTGCTTAGGAAATTTTGCAAGTCTGTTTACACTTCAGACAGAGTCACTATACTTTGTAGGATTGCTAAGATCACAGAAGGAGATAAAAGAGAGAGGCTTCTGTTGGAAGTGGAAAGAAGGAAGTCTCAGCGAGGGCAGTATAGCGAATACATGGAATCACTGGAGTGTATTTCCAAAGGCATCTCTAGATGCAATGCATGGCATCTCGCTAATTTGATGTGGGCTTTAGGGAAAATTCATGAGAAAGACCACAAACTTGTTGCACTTTGCGAGAGGGAGATTTTGTTACGTGGCATCACTTCTTTTAACAATGCTGAGATTTGCCAGATCATTAATGGTTGTAAAAACCTTAACTTGGTATCCTCGGACATGTTTGCAAAAATAGAGGAAACTATTTTAAATGAAGATGCAAGCATTCATGACTTTGAAGTTTACGAACTATCAGGAATGTTGGCGTCATATTCTAAAACAGGCAACGGCTCAGCTAAGCTGTTTAATACTTTCTTAAAGGAAATTTTGTCAAGAGACTTGTCAAAAATTGGCTATCGCGCTCTAGCGGAATTTGTATGGTCATTCGCGAAGAGAGATTTTGTCGCTGACAGTTTATTTCACAAAGTTGAAGAGGAAATAATAAGACGAGGTATATCAGACTTGGACAATGCTAGTTTTTCTAAAGTACTCTGGGCATTCACCAAAGCCGGTTGTGGAAGTAAGCGTTTATTCTACCATCTGGACAATGAACTTGTCAGCAAAGGTTTAAAGCAGTTTGACAGTGGTGTGCTGATAGAAATCCTTTGGTCTTTTACAAAACGAAATGCGACAGACGCCAGAGTGTTTGACCTTGTTGAAGAGGAAGTTTTAAACCTTGGAGTCCATAAGTTTAAAACACACCAGCTTGTACGGATTCTCTTCTCGTTTGTTTCTGCTCAAAGACACAATCCACTCTTGGCTTCTGAAATTGAAAGTGAGTTATGCCTAAGAGATATTCTTCAATTTACCAGCGGCGATTTATGCCAAATAGCCTGGTCGCTTGGGAAAGCTGGAAAGTCAGACAGTAAGCTCTTTGATATAATTGAGGCACAAATATATCATCGTGGTTTACAGGAGCTTCCCTTAAAGGAAAACCATTTACTGATGCTAATGCGTGGATTCATTGAAGCCAAAAGAGGGACTAGGCGACTGTTTGAATGTCTAACTCACTTTTTTACAGAAACAGATTTCCGTTGTTTTAGAGAAAGTGAGATTTGTGAGTGTGTTTGGTGTTTTTCTGAGGCGGGTTTTAAATCAGGTGCACTTTTTGATTCTTTGGAAAAAGAAATCTTAAATCGCGATAAATATTTTTTTAGCAGCAGGCAGATCGCCTTTATAAAAGAGGGATTTCAACGAGTTGGGAAAGGGAGCAGAGAACTTTTTGCAATGTAACATCTACAAGTTAGCTATGGGATTAGCCTGTTCCAGGCCACTGATGTCGAAAACTGATGCGAAAAATGCAAGCGGGCTCCCGGCGAGAGAGACCACCCCCTTTCCCAAGATAAAGCGCTTCTTATTTTCGCTTTGCTTGTTTTATGATGACAGAACTCACATCCCATCAAAGGGGCCTGAGTCTCACTCACAGAGGTGACCTCATATGCGATTGGTTCTTGTTCTTGCTCCGATCGAGAGGTTGTTCTCCAGTTACTAAACTGGTTATCCTCTGTCCTTGAAAACTGAATTCCAGTTCAGTCTGGAAAATAGTAGGCAAAGACCACTTTGCTTGTGTGAAACCACTAATTCGTGGTAATCAATAATTGTAATCAAAATTAAAAACAGCTTTTGGACCTTGTTGAGATTTCATTCCAGCTATAAAAATCCTTTAAACTTGAGATGAAATGTTACCCGAGAGTTTCAACACTTAGTATGGATCCCGGACATAGCAGTAAAAATAGTCGCAGACTCCACGCAAATAACTATGGTTTATAGAAATAATCAGATGTCGACAAATTTGTTTGTGCCGTAACTATAGCACTGTTCACACCTAAGCAAAAAGTATAGACAACCTCTACAAACCGTTAATTTGTTATCTGATTGGAAATTTTCACGAAAAGGGGTTTTACTGGCTTAAAATAAGTATTACCTTTCCAAGTACCATGGATTGTAAGTACCGGGTATACGTTCTGTGACCCTCAAGACACAAGCTAATCTAAACAGCATTTAAAACCTGTGAGGGTTGACGTGACGTTGGTACCAAGAAAGCAGTAGTTTTCTAAAGTGACATCTAAAATGCTGAATTTCTCTTGAATTGCAGAACGCATGTCTTACTATAGAGCGCAGTTTAGCTTGTTCCAGGCATTCAGATAGTGGGGAGCAACGCAAAGTAAAGAAAGTGTGAAAAAGTACAGGGGGGACTCCCCCTTTGTCCTTTTCATTTTTTTGCACCCCCTTTTACTGTCTGAATGCATGGAACAGGCTACGTGCAGTTAAGTTTTATGAAGTGAAGAAGGCAACCTATGAAGTTGAAAAAAAATATAACTGTACAAAAATTCAGACTTGCTTTTTTTTTTCTTGCATGGACTCTTAATAAGCAGAATAGAAATGAGAACACGACAGCAAAAAAATGAGAACGCGAAAGCATGCACAAAGTACTGAACGAAACTTAGGTGATTAATTTCCCACTCTGCGCTAGCGGTTTTATATCATTCTTGATCCCATAACACCCTCAGAGGTATTATCCAGGGGCATCCAGATGAGTCGGGAGAAAAGGTGCGACAAAAATTTATCAAGCATGGGCTTCAAAACTTCTGTCTTGTCTGTTCTCCTGACACAACTGGCTGCACCTGGGTCTACGAGATATCTCGACCCCAGATCTTACACTTCTAGCTCTGTGTGTACATGTGCAGAAGGGCTAAGTCGATTTTGGTTTTCAATCTCCTTCCCAGAACCTGTTCTCCTTTTAATTAATTAAGAACGCGTTGTCGTGCATGACAAAAGAGACTCCTGGGGACAAAATTGTTCATTTCTAAATCTGCCTCACAAGCACCCTTGAAGACACTGGACTTGTAGGTTACTGTCAAGTTTAGAAGTTGAATTTGCCTTTGATACGAAATTCAAAGCTGAAGTTTCACCGGTTTCTGACACAGTTTGTCAGAGCCAACCTAACCCTTTAAAAAGGGTGGATTTATTGCAATTAATTATTTCATTAAATAATTTCACCATAAGTTAATTAATTACTTGCTTTACTAATTTATTGTAGTAAGCTCCAATTAAACAAAAGTTTTAGAAGCGTTACAAGCCTTACTTTTAAAGTGTTTTTAATAATTGTTTTTCCCAACGATTTTGTGGATCACACAATGCCTAGTCTAACATGTCATGAAATGTAATAGTCTGCAGACATGAATTGTATTAAATGTGGCTTATTGCTCTACTATCCCTATACTCATGGTCTCACTGTATTCTCCACAAATTTTAATATTAATTTGAATGCTTAAGTTAACAATAATGATTATTATCATCATTGCTGTTCCACAAAAAAGCTGACAGAAATGAATTTACTTATACAATATTATTGAATGCCCACATGCAAAATCCTTAAGTAAGCCACCACCTCCCATAAGCAATCACCTATTCAAAACACCAAAACTTTCCCAGTCAAAGCCTTACAGTTGGAACCTGTCATAAATAACCCTCCCCCACTCCCCCTCTGTAATTGACCACAAAGTCTTCACAAATTGGGTGGTTGCTTACAGCTGGAGATTTGACTGTAATTCTGATGTAAAAGACATTCCATTTCCTGCATTCATAATCCAAAGAGGTTTTTCCCTTTTCCTGCCTCTTGAAAAATGTGCTTAATGAAAGAAAGTTCTTTTTGATTGAAAAAGTCTTTACCTTTAGCAAGGATTTCCTTTTCCAAAGCATCAAACAATGCCCCGGCTTCTACATTTGCCTTACAAAAACACCAGGCACATTCACAAATGGTTCCACCATTTAACTCATGGAAATCATTTGTTGAAAAAGAGCTAACCAGATGATCAAAAAACTCTTTGCTTCCTTTTCTTCCTTCAAAAAATCCACGCATGAGCATGAGTTTTTCTTTGACCACAAATTTAGAGACACCACGCTTAATTACTTCAGCTTCAATGACATCAAACAACTTGCTGTCTAAGTGTCTTGCCTTACCAAGACACCAGACGACTTGACTTAAACGACCATTATCCAACTCCTTCACATCTCTTATGGATAATTCACTTTCAATGTCTTCAACTAGTTGATCATTATGCCTTTGAGCAGAAACATATGACCAAAGAAGCAACACAAGCTCGTGAGTCTGAAAATTATGAACACCTCGGTCATAAATTTCATTTTCAGCAAGCTCAAATACTTTGGCTTTAGTCACATTTCTTTTAGAAAACGACCAAACAATTTCTAAGAGCTCAGAATTGTTAAAGCTCTCAAGACCCCTTGAGTTGAGTTCAATATCAAACTGATAAAAAAGTTGTCGGCTTCCTTTGCCAGACTTTCCAAATGCCCAGAGTATCTGAATAAAATCAGCTATTGACAAATCATTTGTTCCACGCTGAAGAATTTCTTTTTCTACAGCGTCAAATAAACTGTCTGCCTCTAAACCCTTCTTTGCAAAAGACCACACAAACGTTGCTAAATCAACACTACAAAGCCTAGAAATGTCTCTTGTAAGAAGTTCTTCCATGAATACATCAAACAATTTGACAGAGCCATTATCTGTCTTAGCAAATGACAGCAATATGGCATCAAGCACACAGCCCTCAAAGTCTTTAATCTTCAATTCCTCACTTAAAACTGCATCTTGTATCTTTGGGAAAATGCCTGACCTGTTCAAGTTTAGATTTGTACATCCAAGGACAATTTGACACATCTCAGCATTGTTAAAGGCCATGATATCATGGGAAAGGATCTGTTTTTCACAGACTTGAACCAGTTCGTGAGTCTTTTCCTCAATTTTTCCTAAAGCATACAGCACATTAGCAAGCTCACGAGGATGACACTTGGAAATGTCTTGGGCAATACTATCCAGTAATTCCACATAAGTACATTTTTGTCCTTGTTTTGTCGTTTCTTTTTCCTGCTCCAACACCAGCTTCTGCCCTCTATCCCTTTCTGCAATCTGGGCAATGTTAAACAGCATGGTAACTCTGTTCACGATGTTTGCGGAAGTTTTTACACTTTCAAACAATCCAAGTTGTTCTTCAACTGTCTTCAGAGAAAGTATTCTTCTGTTAAGATAAATGTCATCTCTTGATGGCCTCAAAATTTCAGATCTGACTGTTGAGTAATTACAACAAAAGTTCACAAAAGGGTGGCCAGTGACTTTGTATCTTGGTTTTGTAAATCCTAATGATTGCAATGTTGAACCATAGATACCATGAGATTTCATCAATGGTCTTGAAGGAATTTTATGAATCAGACAAAGGCAATGAAAATAAGTTCTTCTGTACAAAGATGTTATTCTGTACTCTACCAACATGTTTTAGCACTGTTCACAATAAGAAGGGCATTTAATAAGATGTCCCAGTCCTCTTTCCTGGAATAAAAGGAAAGAAAATTAACTAATTTAATTGAAAACATATATTTCAATATAGTTTGCATTTTTTCTCTATTGTGATAATCACAAGTTATATTTTTCTCAAAGTAAGTCTAAAAGGAAATGAAGCTGACATAAGAAACTTAAATATGAGAGAAATTGTCTGTAAAGTAATTAAGTTATGTAACCATTCTCTGGCCTTTTGATTGATTGGAGGTGATGTAGCTCAGATGTATTAAGTTCAGCGAATTCGCAAGGGCATGCATTGCTTAATTCATACATACCTCCACAGCGTTCCGACAGGATAAACTGAAAAATCGAAATAAAAGTTTTCAAGAGCTGCTGGAAATCTCAATTGCCAACGAAAACGAAGGTTGTCGTCTCGAGTACTCTGCTAGTCTGCCGCCATCTTTTTTGGCTTTGCGACCAGTCAAAGAGACAGAAGCGCAAGACCTGGGGTTGAGATTGTTTTTGGAACAGAAGTTGCGTGACAATCCTTTCACTGATGTCACGCATGTATAGATCGCTTTCACAATGACGTCATCAAATTGTAAAGTCGAAATAGCGAGATTTTAAGAATTCTTATTTACACTAGGTTGAAGATAAACAAAAAGTAAATATTTGTACAAGCTTTCATTCCCGTAGCATGTTTCATTTCGAAAATACAGCAATTTGAACTTCCGAGTTTTCACAGTGCGTGACACCAAAATGGGAATGCTGTCTCGTTGAAAAAAAGTATCTCCTCTTGATTTTCAGTAGTAAAGCCAATCCAAGTATTAGAAGATATTTTTATGCGCACGTATGCTAGTTCTCGAGTGAAAAGAAGGAGCTTTTATAGAAAAAAGTGAACTCCAGGAGGGAGAATCAGTGGACACCACTGAAAAGAGCGCCTTGCAGTTAGTAAAATTGCCAAATTTTAAAGTGATACGTCTTTATCGAGGGAAGATATAGTTCCGGCTCCGCGATGATGGGGGGGGGGGGGGGGGGGGGGGGGGGGAACTTTTGTCGAGAAACTCATAAAAGGGGGGAAAAATTTTCCCTGTTTTGGGGCGGTGGTTCGCCCACCTTTTCATCCCATTTTTATAAACCCCACATTTTCATTTTTTTAAGTGGTTTTTTAAGTGGGGGGTGGGGGGGGTTGTCTGATATTCATCCGCCTCTTTTAAAACTGGCAGTTTTTGTAAGTTAAAGGCGTTCTTAAAAGCGGTGGCGTTGGGGTGTTTCTTAAATTTGCTATATAAAAAGTTGAAAAAAAAAAAACCGTTAAAATGTCTATACTTTTTTTAAACTTTCGTTCAATGTTAGAGGGGTTTCTTGTGTGAAAGTTGTCAGTAACCCCTGGTCCTGGGGGGGGGGGGGGTACTTCTGGAATTTCTGGGTGGGGATGTGGGACCCTGGAACCCTTAACCTATACCAGAGCTAGTTCAGCTGAAAATTGGTACCCTTTACTAGAGTAAACTCCCCAAATCCCCCTATCCTGGAGTAGCTGTTTCCCTTGTCCAGATAAAATCTTCAACCAACTGATCAGTTTCCTGAAAAATGATACCCTATTCTAGACCCAAACGCTCTGATTTATATACCCTATCCCAGAGTAAACTGCATGAAAACCATACCCTTCACAGCGGCACATACCTATATAGCCCATATATGGCAGTACCCCCCCCCCGGGGTAGTCTTACCCGAGGGTTGTCGTTAATCAGGCGTTAAAGGAGATGTGTCACGAATGATTCAGCCAAATTAGGTAATCCAAAATGCCCGTTTAATTAAGAGAAACATAAAAATAAACACAAAAAACATTAAAGGAATTCGAAGGTTAAAGCAACACCACAGGTACAACACCGGATGCCACGGATGGGCAAAACTGAAGAAGATTGAAACGGATTGAAATTAGGGTTTTTGAAAACTGTTCAGCCTGACAGTTTTTCAAAGTTGATCTCTGCTGTTTACAACTTCAAAAATAATGAGCAGGAGACATATTTTTTTGTCTTGGATCTCTGATCTTGTCATTTCCATGTAATTTCTTTGCTTACTTTAAGTTCCGTAGCGATTGAGGGCGAGTAATTGGCAAATTTAAACAAAATGAACTGGACTGCAGTGACACAGCCCCTTTAATAGAGAGTTCAACTGTAACATGCATAGGATCTGGGAGGGTACAGGGGGAATTGCCGCAGCATTCATACCGAACACCAATGGGGTTTCCATGGCATCATGATAAATAATTCTATGCGCAGTGGGAGGGGGTAAAGCAATTAATCAGGGTCAATCAGGCATCTTCCTTCAGTTTTAAACCATTATTTTTATCAATTTATTTTCTGCTTTAATCACCATGTGTGAATTCCCTGATCATAACCCCACTAGATCCTGGATTTCACAAATTTTCTCACCTAGAACTCATATAGAGCTAGAATTTGTGCTCACCCCTCCCTACTCCCTCCCTCCCTCTCGAAAAACCGACACGTCAGCTGCGTAACAATGGTGAGCACGCGCAGATTGGAAAAATGCTGCTTCAAAGATGGCGGACAAGTTGTTGAAGCTAATAATAGTAGTACTTTTTATTAGTTTTCGACCGGTATCGTCAGTTGAAGAACCAAATTCAGAAGGTAAGCTATCTTACCGTGTTTTCATGATAAAAATTTTTTCGGGCAATTTTTATTCTCGGAGAAAAAATGCATTTTTGCTGCTGGGTCTTGAGCCGCGCGCCAATGGACTGGACATGTGTGTTTCAGTGAAAAAGATAGATGTTAACTTTTGTAGCGGAAAAAAAAAACGCGGAAGAATTTTTTCCTTCTTCAACATATTTTCTTTTAAAGGGGAAAATGCAGAAGTAGGCTTTGCCCAAGTTTCTGTATTGGACAACAGATTCTGGATACACATGATCACCAATTTGACTCTGCGCGCAAAAATTGTTCTCACGATCACTTGTTCTTTACAAGGCTAAAGTGGTAAGCGGTGCATTTATTCTTTAGTCCTTTCAGCTGGAGTTGGTACTTTTGTATTTACTTTGCCGCGGAGTTGCTCATTTCTTTATTTCAACAAACGAAATGCCTTTAAATAAAGGCGAGTCAAAGGAAGACAAAAAAATGGAATTGAAACAAATTGGAGTCTTATTGAAGTGTTTTTTTTTTTTGCATGCATGCATGCAACACTTCAGTACCATTCAAAAGTAAGTTGACAGTCTGCATGTTGCGAGTCACTATTCTCAACTCGATTCTCGATTCCTGTGCAAATTAAGAATCAAGAGCTGAGAACAAGTTATCGAGAATTGAGAGGATTGAGTCTTGTGAGGCAGAAAACAAAAGATTCACCTATGATTGATTTCTCGTTAATTTTAAAGCATTGACATTGCTTTATTTGTGCAAGCGTTTGTATGCTTATTATCTAAACAAGACCAAGTTAAGCGAATGTTTGAAATATAAAGGGCTACTTTGTAGAAGTTATTTAGAAGTTACTACTTTATAATGGCTTAGTACCTGGCCAGTCAAGTAACAAAACTTGTTTAATCTAGTGACTTGGTCATTCCCCAGTTGGAATTGATGAGCTGCTGAGATGCTGAGCAACTTGATATTTCACGTTTCTCAATTTCTAAAACTAACAAAATTCTAAAAAAATGTTGCATTAGCTTGGGCTTCTATGTTCTAAGACGAAAACTTTCAGGAGGCAGAACGACTTAGTGGTCAGGGTATTAGACTTGCAATCTGGCGATCCTTGGTTTAATCCCTGCTCTGGTCACTTGCTGGATTTGTTCTTGGTTGTCTTGAGGTCAAATCCTTAGCCATGCTTGTTAATAGCCAACCAGTTGCCCCCTTCCAGTTGGGGTTTTTAATCCTGTTATTTTCTAATTTATTTTAATTATTTGTTTCTAATTGTTTGAGTTGAGTTTCTGTTAATTTGCTGCATAAGTTAAGGGCTAGCCTGTGCCAGCCTCTTGGTCAGTGCAGATAAGCAAAAAAGTGAGCGAGCAGTGAGCGAACGAGTGAGAAATGGTGGGAAGAAAGAAAGGAGAGCCTGTAAGAATCTTTTTAAATACATCAATCCTTCCACTATCGTTTCCACTTCCTGAAAAACTGTTTCTGATGTCAAAATTTCAAATGTCAAAATATCAAAAGGTGTGGTGTAGGAGGGTTTCACGTGTTCAACATGTTTGTTTGACTCTGCGTGTGCAAAGCCGAATGGGTGGTGTAAGTGATGAAGTTAACTGTCACAATTGGCCAATCATAGGGTATACCAAGAGCTAGTATTCGGGAATGACTTACTGAAAACAATACTTTACACAGGCTCCAACTCTCCCCAGCCCCCATGTAGTTTTTGTGCAACTTTTCTCATGGAGCTTGGAACAGGCTAGGTAAAATTTGCATTTTCCACTATAAACACACCGTCAAACTTTAACATCCTTTTAAGTTTCAAGCATTTTCAGTCACCAGACACAGGCTCTTCATAAACCTAGTTGCTTCAGTCTAAATTTCATACCCCCAAAGGTCCTCTTTCCTGGTCTACACTACATGTACCTCATCCCTCCAGTAATGTACATACTTCAGTATGCATACAGCTGGTCTTTAAAATAAATTGAACTTAATCCTCAAATGTGATGAGCCCTCCAGTTATCTTAAAGTTACTATCATAGAAAAATGTTGTACAGCAGTCATTCATGCCTGCTAAAACTCAATGTTCAATGTGCTAGTGCACTTCAAACTCACTCTACATTTAACCTTAAATGTTGTGCCACCAGATTTAGTAGAGGTAAATGATGGCGACAGTCAAGATGTAAAGAAAGAAAGTGAGAAAAGTCAGGTAAGTAATGTGTAGAAAATTCCAAAACTCAGAGCAAAAATTAAGAAAACGAAGGGACTATTTTGTCCGAATGGCTTGGACTTCATCAGCCTCGTAAAGAGTAACAGGTTACGTATTAACTTGCCACTCTTTACAACGCTGAAGTCCAAGTGATTCAGACAAAGTATTCCTTTCGTTTTCTTAATTTT